CCTACTCTCTCCTTCACTTCCTTCCCTTACAGCTTCTTGCACTGTGGGGTTTTTTGGGGGGGGGGGGGAGGGGCGGTGTTTGCGTGTGTTTCTTCTTCTTTTTAATCCTAGTGAATTTGTTTTGCAGGTTTTGAAGAAGAAGCCCAGCGTTCTCCAGGATTTTTATGCATTCGATTTCTACATCTTTTACGTGTGATCTCTGTGGCTTTAAGATCCCATAAGTTGAGTGGGCTCCCCCGTTATCTAAGAAAAGTTGTTTAAATGCTTTGCTCTGCAAGCACCAGCAGAGAACTCATAAAAACGGAAGACAGTAGCAGATGCAATCGCGGATGTGGCTTTAGTCTTTGCAGCTGCCCCAGAGAGCTGTTCAGAGCAGACAGTCCTCAGCAATGAATCCAGAAGAGCAAATCGTGACATGGCTTATATCCTTGGGGGTTTTAGATTCCCCCAAAAAGACCATCTGTGATCCGGAGGAGTTCTTGAAGTCTTCGCTGAAAAATGGGGTAGTGCTGTGCAAACTGATCAACAGACTTAGGCCTGGCTCTCTAGAAAAGGTAAGAGAAAGGCTCTTTGGCATTGCTTACCGCCAGAGAGTGGTAATAATGTAACTCTGGAGGTGTTCTATTGCCAGGGACTCTCCTACTTTTCATCGCTAAGAGTTTGGCATTCTGTCTTGTTGTTTTTCTACTTTGAAAAACTCTGAAAGTGAAATATTCTCCTTTAACGATTGGCCCCCAAATATAATACAACTGATACACCTTTGGTGCCAGGGGACAAGGAAGAAATACTGCTATCATTTGCTCTGTCATAGAGATCCATGTGGTACCTCCCTGTGTATCAAAGGTATCTGTTGAACTTGGGGTCTATGTGAGTCTGTGTAATCATGGCATGATTTAGAGCAGATACTAATGGTGTTTATTGACAGTCTGACTAAAATCCATGGCGATTTTCTTCTCAAAGAAAGAAAATATCCATTGCAACAGAGGCTATTTAGCAACCAGGAGAAGTAACCCAAAATGTCAGGAAAGCTTTGGTAAAACAGTAGAAACCAAATATAGGTTTTGAATGCAACATGCGTTCAAAGCGAAACTAACCTTACTCTCTTCTAGACTCCAAAAGTTTTAATGTTGGGAACCCATGATCACGAGGATGGCTAATTTCTAAAGTAGGCACTTTACGTGAGTTTAGAGGTCAAGTCCTCCTGTCACTTTCTTTAGGTTGGCAGGGAACATGACCGTGAGCGTAACGTGACTTCTTTTGCCTCCTTGAACCAGTTTGTATTTTTAGTGAGCCAACTGATTGACTCAGAAGTTTTCTGAAACTTGAAAACCACTGCTGACATGGTGGTGAAACACACAGAACTATGACCAAATGTTGCAGACGGCCAAGGGGAAAGTATAATTTTAGATTAAAAGCAAGAACCAAGCTCAAAAAACAGCCTGGATCTAATTCGCTATCGCCACACTTTGGCAGAAGGCGAAGAAAAAGTTTGCACGCAGAGATAGATGGTTTGGGACTAGAGGTTTAGTGACATTTGAAACGGGACCGACCGTTTAGACTTTTACATCACTTCCTCCGGTGGTTATTTCTCTTCCTGGATTGACAGCGGTGTTGCCCCTGTCTTAAAAAGCCTACCTCTCGGATTATCAGCAAATGAGGAATGTGGCGTGCTTGGCATGGGATGACAGCATCCAAGTGACATTTGACTGTGTTTCTCTAGTTCTGTTTGGAGCCGCAAACCGAAGCCGACTGCCTCAACAACATCAGTGACTTCCTGAAAGGATGTGCAACCCTTCAGGTGGAGGTAAGCCCGCCCAGGCCCTGCTAAGGAAGATGCTGTTGTACTAAAAGCGCTTGGTTGATTTTGACCCTTGAACAGAGGTAGCGCTTCAGGGAAACCGTGGTTAAGATTGGTGGTCTGCAGTGGTGGCTCGTCAGTCTGCCTTTTCCAGAAACCAGTTCCGAAGCAAAAGAAAACAAAATCTACAACTCACAATGTGATATATATATATATATATATATTTTTTTTTTTAAATAGGGTGTTTTTTTTCAAGTTTATTTATTTATTCTGAGAGAGAGGAGGGGAGGGGCAGAGAGAGGGACAGGGAATCCCAAGCAGGCTCTGTGCTGACTCACGAGCCGCGAGATCATGCCTAGAGCCGAAATCAAGAGTAGGACGCTCAGCCGACTGAGCCACCCCGGCACCCCGGAATATGAATATCTTTTACTACAGCATCCAAGCCTTGACCATAATCCCCCTGAGCTGGGAAGAGAGGACAGTATATTGTCACTTTTTCCCATTAACACTTTAAGGGCATTTAAAAAAAATGTTTATTTATTTTGAGAGAGGGAGAAAGAGTGTGAGTGGGGGAGGGACAGAGAGAAAGGGAGAGAGAGAATCCCAAAGCAGGCTTCCTGCTCAGCACAGAGCCCAGCTCGGGGCTTGATCCCATGAACCGTGAGATCATGACCTGAGACGAAATCAAAAGTCGGACCCTTAAAGCGACCGAGCCCCCCGGGCGCCCCTCCCATTAACCCTTTAGAACGGAAGCCTTGGAAAGCTGAGAAAACGTGGGCCTGTGGTAGAAATTGTATATGAACTTACATCGCATTATGTTATGTTATATGGATCCTTACCGTACATATGGGGGCGTTGCTGGAAAGGAGGTGATACTTGGCCTGAGTGTTGAATTACTTAACTTTTCTGTTCCTCAACGTGTGTGTGTGTGTGTGTGTGTACGCGTGTGTGTATCACGTCTTTATGTGCAGAAGCAAAAACCAGGGAAACAACGTCACCATCTAGCAATAGGGGAGTGGTCAAATAAATATAGTACATTCAAATGATGCTGAAGTCTTATACATTCCTTTAAAAAAGATTGTAGTTTTGAAAATGGAAGTACAGTTGCCATATCATATTGTATTTGTTTCAGGCGTACAGCATGGTGATTTGCCAATTCTGTGTATTACACAGCGCCCATCACTATAAGTATAGCTACTGTTCGACACCATACAACGTTACTATCTCATTATTGACTATATTCCCCATGCTGTACTTTCCATCCTCGTGACTTACTTATTTTATAACTGGAAGTTTGTGCCTCTGGACTGCCTTCACCTATTTCACCCAGCCCCCCAGTCCCCTTCCTTCAGGCAACCACCGGTTTGTTCTCTGTATTTGTCGGTTTCTGCTTTGTTTGTTTTGTTTCTTAGATTCCACGTTATCACTGAAATAACATGATAATGGTCTTTCTTTGTCTTGACTTATTTCACTTAGCATAATGCCCTCTGGGTCCATCCGTGTTGTCACAAATGGCGAGATTTCCGTTCTTTTTTTTTTTTTTTAATAAAATGTTTATTTTTTTATTTTGAGAGAGAGAGAGAGAGAGAGAGAGAGAGCACGAGCAGGGGAGGGGCAGAGAGAGAGGGAGAGACTCCCAAGCAGCCGATGTGGGGCTTGAACTACAAACCCTGAGATCATTACCTGAGCCAAAAATCAAGAGTCGAGCATTTAACTGACTGAGCCACTGAGCCACCCAGGCACCCCCATTCTTTTTTTAATGGTTTATATACACATCCGTGTCCATTCTTCTATCAGTGGACACTTGGGTGGCTTCCATATCTTAACTATTGTAAATAATGCTGCAATAAACATATGGGTGCATATCTTTTTGAATTTGTGCTTTTCCCCCCTTTGGGTATGTGCCTCGGTATTTTGATCTGTACAACCGACACAAGAATTACTACTTCATGGGGCTGTTTTAAGGATTAAATGAGATACTACATAATAATTTAGCACTAAGAGCGCCAACCTGAAAAAGATCTGTGAGATAATGTATGTACAGTCCTCAGCAGAGAACCAGGGACATAAGAAGTATAGACATGTATTAGCAGTGTTATTTGTGGAGAATTATTAGTAGTGGGTTGATCATGCCCTCCGATGCTGGATTGCTTGGGTCCAAATCTCAGTTCTCTTCTTACTAGTAGCTTTGTGGCTGTGGGCATGTTACTTGACTACGCCTTAGTCTCCCCACCTGTAAAATGGGAAGGATAGCAGCACACATCTCATAGGATCAGTGTAAGATGCCAATGAATTCATGTCCCCAGAAGAGTGCCTCGTACATAGCAACTATCCTCCAAGTGTTAGCTATCATTATTAGTAGTGATGCAAGTCGCTTTGCCCCAGATAAAACTTGGTTTGCTTCAGGATTTTTTCCTAAAGCTAGCCACAGCATCAGGCTACGCTCGTCTCAGAATATCGTGTTCCAGGTGTCCCTGTTGCCCAATTTTAGCTGCGTGTGTATGCATGGGCACGTGTGTGTGTATGCTTTTTGAGGTAAGTGGAGCCTGGGACGACTGTATGTATCTTATAGAATAATGTCTTCTACGGAACAGATCATGGTGTTTTCTTTTTTATTTGACAAATAAAAACATGGTGATTTTTCTGATAAATAAAGCTTACTCCTGTAAGTACCAATGCTTAAAATATTTTCACCCACTTCGGATACAAATCTTTCTTTTTTTTTTTAAATGCTTATTTATTTTATTTTGAGAGACAGATCGGGGGTGGGGGGGGGGCAGACAGAGAGAGAAAGAATCCGAAGCAGGCTCCAGGCTCCGAGCGGTCGGCACAGAGCCCGACACGGGGCTCGAACCCACGAACCGGGAGACCATGACCTGAGCTGAAGTCGGACGCTTAACCGACCGAGCCCCCCAGGCACCCCAAGTTCGTGCCTTAAACCATATCGCTTTTCATCCCCCCACCTCCCCATCCCGTGGTAACTACCATTTTACTCCCAGTTTTTCGAGTTTGACTTTTTTAGATTCCACATGTAAGTGAGGCCACACACTACTTGTCTTTCTGTGACTTCTCTAACTTAGCGTAATGTGCCCAGGGGCCATCCGTGTTGTCACAGGTGGCAGGATACGCTCCTTTGTCGTGGCTGAATAATACTTGATTGTGTATACATACCACATCTTTTTTATCCGTCCATCCATCCATGGACATTTAAGTTGTTTCCATCTCTCTTCGCTTCAGCTACCGTATCTCTCAGGCCTACCTTACCTAGCAACAGTGCCTAGTATAGGACATACTTAATAGATTTTGATTAATGCCATAAAGCTGTTAACGTACAAAACGCAAGGAGAGTAGGGCTTGACCGTTGCCCAGAACACATTATTATTTATCGAAAGAGAGAGTGCCAGTTTGAAACGGTCAGCTGGGAAATGCAGAAAAATGAAGCCAGAGATATAGCAGAATGACAGCTCGAGTGCTGGCTGTGGGGCATGGTGGCCCCATTAAAGAGTTGCTGCCTTCTGAATCTCTAGGGGTCCAGCGGGCCTCTCCAAGGGACCTCCGTCTTTGTGTGCTCATATGGCAGTAGTGTCCGAGGGTGTCTAGAAGATCGCACAGCTAGTAAGTGGTCAGGGAGGTTTGCTGAGGCATCTACAAAACAAAGCACTCGCTGAAGCACCTCCTAACTTTGATAGTATCTGTTTTTTCAAGTTTTGTTTATTTAAGGACTCTCCATCCCCAACGTGGGGCTTAAACTCATGACCCTGAGATCCAGGCTCGCAGGGTCTTCCAACTGAGCCAGCCAGGCACCCCGATGGTATCTTTTGAAACACACAAGTTTTTTAAGTTTGATGAAGTCAGGGGCGCCTGGATGGGCTCAGTCAGTTAAGTGTCTGACTCTTGATTTTTGCTCAGGTCATGACGTCATGGTTTTTGAGTTCAGGCCTGCACAGAACCTGCTTGGGATTCTCTCTCCCTCTCTCTCTGGCCCTCCCTCCCCGCCCCTCAAAATAAATAAATAAACATTAAAGAAAAGATTCTCTAAAAAATTCGATGAAGTCAAATTGATCTATTTTGTTGTTGTTGCTTGCGTTTTGGGTGTCGTATCTAAAAAATCATTGCCTGATGCGAGGTCGTAAAGATTTACCCTTATGTTTTCTTCTAAGATTGTTATGGTTTAAGCTCTTACCTTTAGGTCTTCGATTCGTTTTGAGTTACTTTTTGTATATGGTGTGAGGTAGGGGTCCAACCGTATTCTCTGAAACACTATTTGTTGAAGAGACCATTCCTTCCCCCACTCGATTAATGTAGCTGTGTAGTAAGTTTTCAAATCAGAAATCACGAGCCTTCCAAATTTGTTCTCCATTTTCCAAATCATTTTGGCTATTCTGGATTCCTTGTGTGCCCATATGGATTTTAGGATCAGCCTGTCCATTTGTGAAAAACAAAACAAAACAAAACAAAACAAAACAAAACAAAACAAAACCCCAAAAAACCCAACAACCCAGCTGGCATTTTGATAGGGATTGTGTACAATCTGTAGGTGGCTTTGGGAGTATTGCCACATTAACAATATTAAGTCTTGCGATCCATGGACACAGGATGTCTTTCCACTTATTTGGGCCTTTTAACATGTCTTTCAACATTGTTCTGTAGTTTCTAGTGTGCACGTGTTGTACCTCCGTGGTCCAATCTATTCCAAAGTATTCGATTCCTTTCGATGCTGTTGTAAATGGAATTGTTTTCTTAATTTCATATTTGGATTGCTCACTGCAAGTGTGTAGAAATGCAATTGGCTTTTGCATATCGATCTTGTATCCTTCAACTTTGTGTAACTTATTTATTAGTTTGAATAGTTTTTTGGATTCCTTGTGGTTTTCCTGTACAGGATTATGTCATCTGCGCACACAGATAGTTTTACTTCTTCCTTTACCAATCTGGATGCCTTTTACTTCATTTTCTTGCCTAATTTGCCTGGTTAGAACCTTCAGAACAATGTTGAATAGAAGTGATTAAAGTGGACAGCCTGGTGTTGTTCTTAATCTTAGGGGGAAGCTTTCAGTCTTTCATCATTAAGTAGGATGTTAGCTGTGGGTTTTTCATCGATGCCCTGTATCAGGTTGAAGGAGTTCCCCTTCTATTCTTAGTTTTTTGAGTTTTTTTGAGTTTTGTTTTTTGTTTTGTCTTTTGTTTTGTCATGAGACGGTGCCGGAT